ATTCTTCTTTGGCATGGCCCAGAAGAGTGTCTGCTAGCTTGGTGGCGAAGAGTGTTGCTGCTCTCTGGGGAAGTCCTTTGAAGTATTTCGAAGAGTTGAGCACAATTTCCCCATAAAACTTGGCATAGAAAGCTTCAGAATTTCCTTTGGAAATAAAGGAATCATATAGGTTTTGGACTGTTCTAAATTCCGAAGTAGTTTTTTCAAATTCAAGACAATAATCTTTGACTTCGTCTTTCAAGGACTTGTGGAAAACTTCACGTTGTACGATATTCTGTGTCGTGTCTTTCACGAGCTGGGCAAACACGTCATATTCTAACGCTGTCTCCTTCTTCTTTTTCGTCTTAATAGCTTGGTCCTGGTCTTTGTGTTTGGCAGCTATTTGTCTACTTAAGCCTTGCTTGCTTTCACAAATCTTCGTGCAAAACTGACATGTAACTCCTTCGTTTTGAAAATACAAGGGAACAACAGATACATACCTCAGCATTGCTATAAAAGCTTTCTTGCTTTGAAAATTACACTATCAATTATAGAATTATTTCAGGAATGTGCACTGACAATATTGGGACAGAAATAGCGAAAGCAATAAATAAATCTCTTTGAGTAAAACTTTAGCTTGCGTATAAGCTACCGGCCTTTGAATTCGCGTGAAGAATCGCGTACAAATCATAATAATTCCGCGAAATAAGCGCATATTTATACACTCACCTCCTCAACAACAGCTTATAAATAGTCCTCGAACTCTTCATCTTCGTGTAAAGCTTTAAATATAGGATCAAAATCGTCTCCAAACAGAAAATCACTACTAGAAGTCCCCAACGACGCCATGTTTTTTTGGTGTTGTGTGCAGGGTCGCGGTCACGTGACGGTACTTTCAACATAAAAACACGAACAATGGGCTCACTCTTAGAAGTTCGCCGGCTTTCCTAACCAGTTCCCCTCTACTAGCTATGATTTAACCAACCAGATTGACTTACTTGAAAAATTGCCGAGGCTCAGCGTGTAGTTACTATTCCTGTCCCCAATGCCAAACGAAGCGTATTCAGCGTAAACAGCCTTATTACTCGCTACTAGATATAGCCTAAGCTTGTTTTCTGTCTCGTTCTGCGTCAGGGGGTTAATCTTGTTAAGTCCGAGCCAAAATCCACCAATGAGGAAATTACCGAAACCTTTTGTGTAGTCATCCCAGGTGTGGTTGAAATCAACAGGGCCATTCTGTCTCTTTTGGATGACTGTCCACCCTCCACCAGTTGATGTCTGGTCGCAATATACATCAAAGGCACCTTTACCGTCAGGGTCGATTGTATAAACACCACTTGTGGTTTGACCCCTTGTGTACAGCTCAGCACAGTTCTTAGCTGTTAAGAGATAAAAAATCAAATTGTTATCGTCGGTTACGAGTACTAAGAAAAGAGGATGTACGAGGAAAAGACGAAATAATTGAAAATCAAGTAAAGGAGATAATGCAACCAAGAAACGATCGATAGTTCAGTTTTTTTTTACAGTTCTGAACTCATGGAGAACGCTAGAGTGCAAGTAGAACTGCTCTCTGCAAGGAATCGCTGAATTCCAACACCAACTCAGAAAAACATTCTGCCACTATGTAAACAACCGTCGTATTCAATGAAATGTAATCCAAGGGTTATCATAATATACCAATTGCAAAGCATAGATTCTTACTCACATTTCTCGGATTTTCTGCTGTTGTTTTTGCAACTTACCGAAGCTGCACGAGCTGAAGGTAACAACTGAATCATGAATAAAAGTGCCACACTGAGCAGCATAGAATAATTTTGTGCAACAGACATGATGCGATTAAATTCCTCTCCCAACCTTAAAGCTGTAGATTCCGAAATGTATACGTAGCTGT